CACTTCCTAAATATGACATCTTTTTTTTTTTTTTGATCAACAAAGAATTTATTTTATTTAAAATACTGGAGTATAAGAGATACTCCTATCCTTTTACAAAAAAGGAAACAAAACTCCCTGCACATTCAAAAAGACACTACAGGAGCGCAGAAATATGAAAACCCCCGAAAGAACAAGAATAATCAGTAAAGAACAGACTTCAACTTGAGGACTGAAGACATTTCTGTTGCTGATTAAATATCTTCAAGGATTTCTTGTACCACTTCAGCTCCCTTGCACATTCCCTCAGGTTACTTTGCCATTGGACCAATGAAAAAGCACATCCAGCCACCTTATTTCTTACCCAAAAGTGAGTCTTAACTTGAATTAACTCCAACAATTGCTCCTTAATATCTTCCTCCCTCTGAAATACCAAAACATTTCTCCTATACCACAAATACCAAGCAGTAACAAGAAAAATGCAGGCTCCCATCTTCTTTCCTACCAAACTGCCTATACCGTAGATGAACATCTCAGCCACACCCTTCACTGTATTCGGCATCACCACCTCCATACCCCACCACTTAATCGTCTTAACCCAAACTACCCAAGCTTCCATGCACGTGCAAAATAGGTGATCAACCTCCTCCACCCCCTTCTTGCATAATCCACACATCATATTGTCCCTCTGTAAGTTCACTCCTCTTTTATGTAAATTCCCTCTAGTTGGGAGTCTATCTAAGCACAACCTCCACCCAAAAATACTCACTTTAGAGGGCACCAACCTGCACCAAATCAATTTACACAACTGGCTATCCAATAAGCATTCCACAGGAGCTAAAAATTCATAAGCTTTCTTCACTATATACCTACCCTCCGCCTCATTCCTCCACTTCCTAAATATGACATCTTTAATAATATGTTTGGTTTGAGCCTTTGAGGGGAGGGGAGGGATGAATTTTTGAATGAATCTACTTATAACATTTTTAAATATTAAAATTTACTTAGTCAAAAAACTTATCCCTCTCCTTCTCTCCCCTCAAATAAAATATACCCTAAAACTGAACTCGAGGGATCAATTAGCCTATAGTTGATGGCCAATATTGGAGGCCAAGAAAATTAATCTATGGTAATGCCATCGTTGAATGGACATGTTCCTTGTTTATAAGACATTGGTCACACAATTGACAAGTATTTCTAACAGTTGTCAACTTGTAATTAACAGCTTATGAATTAATAAATCACAAACAATACGATAGTACTATGTAATGGAAAAAATGGAACAACTTCCAAGTTAGGCCCAACATTAAAGAAAAAAACCTCCCAAGTTGGACCCTAAATTTATTCTGTTTTCTCTCTATTCATCTCTAATACTTATTTTGTATCAATTACATCCAAGTACTGTATAATTTTGCTAGAAGGAAGGCAAGGCACACTTTTTTACACTCTCTCATTTCAACAATCACTCTGTAATTAGACTTACTAGAACTTAAACAAGTTCATACCTATTAATAAAAAAACCTTAATTACAAGATCAAAATCAGGTTCAAACTATTATCATATCAAATAACTAACTTTTTAATATACCAAAAAAATCACTATGTAATTGGTTCATATGGCTTATAATTTCTTACTATTGGTCCACATGTTAATTAAATTAGTTAAAATTAAAATCATCTAATATGTAAATCAATAATAAAGAAATATTTAAAATCTGGACAAATGACCAAAAAGTTTTGAAAACAAAGTGAGAAGGAGAATGTGGTTAGCATTTCTCTCTAAGCAATAATTCAGAGTTAATGAAAAAGTCATGCAGTTGTCATCTCTCTATTAAGTCCTTAACTAGTCAAACTTTTTCAACTCACAATAAAACTTTGTAACAGTGAAAATTAATTGTTGTGTCACTGGAGCACATATAAAATGAATATTTCCCACCTAACACTACACCTTTACCAACTATCCTAATTTAAGGGGAAAGTATTCAATTATCTTGAAATAAAATCTTAAATTTTAGCTGTA